ATCCACATTAATAAACCCTTCTAAACACTGTCACTTCTACAACAAACCTTGATTTACTGACTGATATTTTACTGACTTACGTAATTTGTGATCATCATTTAACGCAAATTTCTATTGAGGTTTGCACATTATTGATGGTACAAATTTCTTTTATTACAGGCAAGATTCTTTCTAAAAATTCAAGCACTTTTCAAGCACAAAAATCAACATTTACTAAATTCAAGTACTTTTCAAGGACTCCCCTCAAATTCAAGGACTTTTCAAGGACTGTGACGAAGCATGTAATACGGATCGTATCGTGAAGGCTGTATCGTAATACGCGATCGTATCGTGAAGGCTGTATCGTAATACGGATCGTATCGTGAAGCTGTATCGTAATACGGATCGTATCGAGAAGGCTGTATCGTAATACGGATCGTATCGTGAAGGCTGTATCGTGATACGGATCGTATCGTGAAGGCTGTATCGTAATACGCGATCGTATCGTGAAGGCTGTATCGTGATACGGATCGTATTGTGAAGGAAGTATCGTGTGATACATACCGTATTGTGAAGTCTGTATCGTGATAGGAATCATATCCTGAAGGTTGTATCATGATACAGATCGTATGATCGTGAAAAGCTGAATTGTATTACCTATCGTATCGTGATGGTTGTATCGCGATTCGTATCGTATTGTTGTATCAAGGCTTGGGTGATAAGCTGTCCTTCAATCAAGGGATATATGATATGGTAGCATTACTTGGGAGTCACATCATATAAGGGGTACGCGATACACTAACCAAGGGATATTATGTAGTAGGGAACCTTACTTCGAAGGCTGTATTAGGGAGATTGCCATGACTGTCATCGTTAACATGATATGGAGATTGTCATTGGTAACTTGATAACGAGTGTCATCGTTTAACTGCAGTGTGGGAGACGGTGCGTACTCACCGCACGACGGCATCTGCATATTGACCGAAGCTGGATGACATGTAGAATGTGCTGCGGCCCCGCCTTTCATCGCACAGCGTCGAAACCATCTACGTCGACCGCTCTCCGCGTGACACATCACGCGGCGGCGCGCGTCGCCGAACGCTTCGGTTCTTATAACGAACGCGCTTCTCGCGAAAACTACCAATGTTAAAGGTTCGCAGTCGTCGAATGTTTCGTTTCTTACACGAACACCTCTCGCGGGGTTTCTCGTGAAAATGTACCGATATAAAAGGTTCGCTAGTCTGGTTGGCGGTTGTCTGAATTAATCAAAGATGAATCTTGTCTCAATGAGTCTCTTGTCTGAATTCAGGTTGAAAATCGCTGCGAATCAACAGGTGACACGTTTCCATCTGATCACGTTCTCAGTAAGTCTGGCCTGATGTTTCCCCAATATGCCGCTATCTGAGGACTTCTCCTATCAAACCGCATTTAGCATGTTCGTGCCATGACGAATTCTATATCCTCATCGCACACAGAAAGCTACACCTCAGCTGAGATACAGCACCGAGTGACGTAGAGAATGCAACTTCCTTTTGACAGGCAGACGATCGCGAGTGGAACACAAGGCAGGATATGCAACGGACACCCAGTTGTTTCCTATGTGGCTGCCACATCCTACCTAGTTACTGTGAAGCTGTGTGTGCTCATGGTGGTTCATGTCTGTACATGGAGCTTTTAAAACATGAAACAGCAAACAGTGATAATAATACACACACACAACAACAGACAGCGCACGTACGCAGCACACACGCACGCACGCACATACACACTCACACACACACACACACACATACACGCACGTGGGCATGGCGTTTCCTGTCCAGATGGTTGCGGATGGGAACTTAATTAATTGAGATTATAAAACATCATATTCATAGCACACATCAGGTGACACACTACGATTAGCCCACAGGAACGATTGCACGATAACCTGAGGGACTGGGTTCTTTCAATTCTCCTCAGTATAGCATACTCCTCATTTGCTTCCCTGGGCTTTATAGTTAAAAATATAAAATATATATATATATAATATATATATATATAATATATATATACATATACATATATATTAAGACTAAAATCAACAGAAACAGTAGGTACTAGATAGCTATAGCAACAATGCTACCATCGGTAATCACTGCTTCGACACATATAATAGTTCTGCTTAGAATGCGGCTAGCAATGAAATACGCTGTTGAAGTTGGACGCTGCTGCCATACTACATGTTAAGTTTTAAAGAAAGGTAAGAATAACATAGTGCAAAAAAACTAAGCTTAATTATTACTATGAAGATAGCATAGTAATAATATAGAATATAGTACGCAATACAGTATGGCTTTAATAACTAGTTTCACCAGTGTGTTACTGTTAGCCATAGCACCGTCTACCCGTCTTTGAACGGCCTATTCTGTGAGACAAATGAAATTTGATAAGAGACGGCATGAGGGCGGCCAAATTTTAGCCCTGCATATAAAATAAATCGTCGCGTTTTTTCCCCTAAGCGCTTCGCACCCGCAGCATCCATCGCTTCGCTCAGATGGTGAGACTCCCTTTTCCTGGCTAACACGCCTGGTTGCACCGTACTGTAGAATATTGGTTACCTTAACAGGTCCTGGATGTAAGAATACAGCATCGTTCGTTCCATCAGTCTCCACCGATGTCTTGCCAACTATGGTGGTTGCATTGTCCGTGAAGCTCTCCCTCATACTCTCATTTCCTGTCAGCTCCATTTTCACCTCCCCCTGTAAATCAAAGTTCATATCTGTAGCTCATTATTTATTCATTAATGCATAATTAACAGACATTTTAATGCTAAAACAGTACTTAACGAAACTGCCAATACTGTATATAATCGAGATTTCATAGAAAAAGAGATGCACGCATCGGAAAAAAATGCACACACTCATCGATCAGGCGATACATTCCTGTTATAAGAGATAAAATACACGAAAATTGACGTGAATGCCAATTCTATCTCAGTGCAGTGTTTCTATAAACTACTCAGTGTCATCACCCTCAGAGTCATCTATCACAAAACTTTCATTCATCGCGTGACTAAAGTTCGCTTATGTTTTTGGTAAGTTTCATTAGCACCTAAAATGAATTTCATTCCACGCGCTTGCGGCGAACCCCCCTATTCACCAGTTTAAGAAGCGCTGTGAAGCGTATCGCGCCCACACGACGGTGTCGTACCAGTACCATAGCACCTCGCTCGCGACTCTTAACACCTCCTCGCGCTCCACGTTCCATCTGCAACGGCCCGCTCTTGCGCGCCACGCCGCTAGTGACTGCATCTTCGCTGGCGGCCGCCGAGCGTCCGACGCCGCTCTCATACGGGGAGAGGAGCGCGTGGGCCACTTGCGCCGTGTCTTGCGGCGTCTCCGCGAGCTTGCCGGAGCTCGCCGCAAGATTCTCCGCCCGCTGTTCGGATTCGTCCGCCGCCGCGCCGCATATATGTATGTGTATACATGGGTCGAAATCATAATGGGCCCGCAGGTCCGATGCACGTATTTTAAGGCTCGGGCCTGACATTTCTAAAACTAGCAAGTCCGACGGGCCCGTAGAAAATCCAACCCCAGCATGCAAAACCGTCCCCGGCACGCCAGCGAGGATGAAAAGTTACCGCAGTATCGCCCACTTGTGTCAAGTTGTGCACAACAGCGACCCAGGTCCTGCATGTAACCTACACTTTGAAGCATGTCGATTCTAATCATTACCAGCAGTCATCTGCACTAATGAGGGGGTCTAATTAACTTATTTCCTGCCACATTTACTTCGAAATCAGCCAGGCTTTTTCTATCATATCTTCGGTAAATAAACACTGAGCTATAGATGACTTAGACATGGAGTAAACATGCAGTTTGTGTACATTCTATTGCTGTAGTGCAGGCCAGCCAACAGTTAAGAAAATATTCCACTAAGAGAGTGGGGACACCAATGAGGACAGTGAGAATTCTGACAGCTCATTAGTAGTCACTGAAGATGTTCTTTATATTACTGTAAAGTGTAAATAAACCATTGTACAAATTTCAGTCTTTTATTTTAAAAGAATTCTGCGGTATCCGGGGAATGATGCGGGCCTATAATTTGCCTGGCAGGCCTATAAAATCCCTTACCTACAGGCCATTTTCAAACTAATTTCTACTCCTGGTATGTTATATACATGTCAAATTTAGTTTGATATGTTAAAAATTCATTCATTTCCATAATGTATAAGTTTCTACATATTCCAGATATATATTAGATTATATAGAATCTTACACATTATGGAGAAATTACTGAATTTCTAACATATCAAACTAAATTGTAAATTTATAACTAAAATGCGGACAACCTAAAAATCATCATGAATTTTAAACACATACACCCATTACCCAGTTGATATTACTAACTGATACTGTATTACACATAAATAATATATATATATATAATATATATATACATATACATATATATTAAGACTAAAATCAAACAGAAACAGTAGGTACTAGATAGCTATAGCAACAATGCTACCAGCGGTAATCACTGCTTCGACACATATAATAGTTCTGCTTACAATGCGGCTAGCAATGAAATACGCTGTTGAAGTTGGACGCTGCTGCCATCTACATGTTAAGTTTTAAAGAAAGGTAAGAAATAACATAGTTGCAAACAAACTAAGCTTAATTATTACTATGAAGATAGCATAGTATAATATAGAATATAGTACGCAATACAGTATGGCTTTAATAACTAGTTTCACCCAGTGTGTTACTGTTAGCCATAGACCCGTCTACCCGTCTTTTGAACGGCCTATTCTTGGATGAGACGGATGAAATTTGATAGAGACGGCATGAGGGCGGCCCAATTTTACCCCTGCATGAAAATAAAATCGTCGGTTTTTTCCCCTAGGGCGCTTCGCACCCGCAGCATCCTCGCTTCGCTCAGATGGTGAGACTCCCTTTTCCTGGCTAACACCCTGGTTGCACCGTACTGTAGAATTGGTTACCTTAACAGGTCCTGGATGTAAGAATACAGCATCGTTCGTTCCATCAGTCTCCACCGATGTCTTGCCAACTATGGTGGTTGCATTGTCCGTGAAGCTCTCCCTCATACTCTCATTTCCTGCCAGCTCCATTTTCACCTCCCCCTGTAATCAAAGTTCATATCTGAAGCTCATTATTTATAATTAATGCATAATTAACAGACATTTTAATGCTAAAACAGTACTTAACAATCCAAAACTGCCAATACTGTATATAATCGAGATTTCATAGAAAAAGAGATGCACGCATCGGAAAACAATGCACACACTCATCGATCGCGATACATTCGTGTTATAAGAGATCAAATATATGAAAATCGACGAGAATCCATGCTACTAGTGCAGTGTTTCTTAAACTACTTCAGTGTCATTCGCCCTCGAGTCATTATCACAAAATTTCATTCATCCGTGACTAAATTTCCTTATGTTTTTGGTAAGTTTCATTCACACTAAAATGATTTCATTCACGCTTGGCCAAACCATTCAACAGTTTAAGAAGCGCTGTGTAAGCGTATCGCGCCCACACACGGTTCGTACGTGTACCATACGCACCTCGCTCGCGACTCTACACCCTACCTCGACGCTCCACGTTTCCATCGGCAACGGCCCGTCTTGCGCGCCACGCGCTAGTGACTGCATCTTCGCTGGCGGCCCGCCGGCGTCCGACGCCGCTCTCACGGGAGACGGAGCGCGTGGCACCATCTGGCGTTTGCGCGTCTCCGCGAGCTTGCGGAAGCTCGCACGAAGATTCTCCGCGCTGTTCGGTTCGTCCGCCGCCGCCGCCGCCCGGAACGAGCGCGGGAACGGCGCCACCTGTTGGAGGCGCGGCGCGACCGTTCCCCGCGCCCGCGGCGAAGGAGGTAGCAGTGCTGCGAGGTGTATCGATGCATCGCTGCTGTCTGTAGACCTGATGCTCTTGCTCACACTTCTCACGTCGAAGCCGGCGATCGATCGTGCGTCCGGCTTTGCGGATTCACGACAGGCAGGCTGGGCGACGACGGCCGGCACAGGAAGTGAAGCGGACGCGGACCAAGACGCGCGCGAGCATCCGTCGTCCTGCGGTGCCGCCACCTGGTGTGCGCGAGACTCCACGCCGCGCGCGTCTCTGCCTCCGGCGTGAGTCGTGGCGGCAGCGACCTCGGAGGTGACGGAGTCGTGGGGGTCGACTCGATGTCGTGCGCCGCCCGCCTCCTCTGCCTCGTCCGTCGTCTCGGCTGGCCCCTCCCGCGGGCTCGGCTCTGCGGCGGACTCGCTGCTAGCTCTGCTGCTCACCGACGCTCCACTCCACGTGTAGCGCATCTGCGCGTATTGCGTTGCCGCTGCCGTCGACGCCTCCGTGCGTGCGCGAGACTCCGACTCGAGACTCGAGACATGAGATGCCGTTGACTCGTCGCTGTTCTGCCTGTAGAGCGTGGCGATGGCGCGGAGGATAGGACTCGCCGAGCGAGGGAAAGCCGCGCACGCCTCCCCCGCCGCGCCGCCGCTGCAGCGCACGCTCCAGCGCGCCGCGCGTCGCGTCGGCGATCGGTCGCGCGCGAGCCGCGGGTCGAGAAAACACGTGGCAGGCTCCGACTTCCCACATCGTGCGTCGTCGTCGGCGGCGAGCGTGTGCCACGCCGACGAGAGCGTTCGTCGTCGGGCAAGACGCCGCAGAAGGCCATCTTCGCTCGCCGGTGTACGGCGGCGACGAGACGCGGCGCTCCGGGGGCGTCGGCAGCGCGACCTGGCCGGCCGGATACTTTCATGACGACGTGCGCGTGGGCGCCCGCGCAAGCCCGCGGCCGCGAGCCGCTGCACGCAGGTGCGCACCGCGCGCAGGCGCGGTCGTTCGGGGCCGGCACGCCGCCGTCGCTGTCGCCAGGGAGGTCCACCGGACGCCGACGTAGTGCGACCACGACGCTCAGCGCCACCTCGTGGTCTCAGGGGGAGCGGCGGGGTCGCGGAGCGGGA